TGTGTGTGTGTGTGTGTGTGTGTGTGTGTGTGTGTGTGTGTGTGTAGGTGTGTGTGTGAGTGTGTGTGTGTGTGTGCGTCAGAGTCGCAACGAAACATGTGCACCAGCGTGAGAGTTGAGGCCTAATACAAACACATACACACACACTCGCACGGTCAAACACGCAGAGGCACCCTGGCTGAAATGCATCCCCGACCAGGGAATCAACAAATCATAAATCAGCAGATTTCCATCCAGTGTGGACGTCACAGATCAGGTTTAACATTCCTCCTCTGCAGCTGTAAGGGAGGCTGCAGGGAGGAGGAGGAGGAGGAGGAGGGGGGTGAAGGAGAGAGAGAGAGAGAGAGAGGGAGAGAGAGAGAGAGAGAGAGAGAGAGAGAGAGAGAGAGAGAGAGAGTGTAACACTATAGGCCGAAACTAGAAATTATGGGTAGGCTTTGGTCATTGTATCAGTTTATTGTCTTACTTCCGGGCTGTTTAAAGGCAACATTGTAGCCTGCGGAGGAGAGTTTGTGTCGCATACCGCAGCTAACATTAGCGTGACAACAGCAAAGAGGGAACACTGTGCAGAATGAACAAGAAATGAGGAGATACAATCTTTGTATTTGGACTTGATTAATGAAGCCACTGTTTTTGGTGTTGAAGCTGGATGATCGGGGTGAATACAGATCGCTGACGCGGTCTGAAATTGTCTTATGTCGCCTTGATTGCAACAGTTTCCCGTCACAGCTGTTATGGTGCTACAGGAGCGCATAATGACGCAGTTCGCGGCATTTAAGGTGCAGTAAATATTAGCTCCCACTGGTAACAACTGACATCGATGTTTTTATTTTAATTGTTTCAGTTATTTGTTATTTTCTACCTTATTATTATTTACTGTTTTATGTAATAATATTAAATAATCTCAACTGAAGGTGTAATGCAGCAATAAACTGATAAAGGTTTGTCTGCCGTGTTGCATATTCTATTATTAACGGGTTATTTTACGGTTTATGGTCACTGGCTTCTAATTTCCAGCCGAAGCAAAAGGTCAATTAACAGGCCTGAGTGATGAGAGACAGGCTCACTCACAGGGAGAGGGGGGGAGGAAGGGAGAAAATATTTCATAACAGCTCCCTAACACTCTTTTTTTCTCGAGTGTCTACTTTCTCCCTCTCCTTCTATTTCGGTATATTCTTTTTTTTACATCAGTGCAATAAATTATGTCTGCAGCAGGTGGCGCTCTGAGCTCACCCCCGGCACCTCCGGCAGCAGCATGAAGGGTGAGGCAGAGAGAGAGAGAGAGAGAGAGAGAGAGAGAGAGAGAGAGAGAGCGAGAGAGAGAGAGAGAGCTCCCCCCGCCCATCCCTTCATCATTAGAAACCCCAGAGCATGAATTACCTCTCCAAAGTCATCGGCGAGAATTTACGACTGGTCAACAAAAGCACGTGACCACCCCCACCCCCCTTTTCTCTGTCTCTCTCTCCTCCCTCACCTCACCCCTCACCTCCCCCATCACACACACACACACACACACACACACACATACCCCTCAATCCAGAACAAACACACACACATACACACACCACCGCCACCCCACCCCCATATTTGGACGGCGCATACATAGCTAAAAACGAAGTACAGTGCTACGCCATAATTCACTAATACATCATAAATCGTTGAAAGTACCCGCGTTATAACGACCAGGAGAAATCTAACAAATCAAGCGCCCCTTAGTCCTCGCTGTAAGCCTGCAACTCTCTAAAACAACCTAAATGAGCTCTTACTTTGTAAACTCGTTCTCGGGGCGCTACCCAAATGGCCCCGACTATCAACTGCTAAATTATGGAGCCGGCAGCGGCGCAATGAACGGCGGGACGTACAGGGACTCTTCCTCCGCCAACATGCACCATGCGACGGGCTCGTTCGGCTACAGCTACAATGGCATGGACCTGACCGTCAGCAACCGGGGAGGGGGGAGCGGTGGCGGAGCCGCCAACACCGGAGGACACTTCGGGGGCGGCTCGGTCGTCGGGGACTCCCGGGGCTTCGGCTCCCCAGCCCCGGAGACGGGCTTCCGACAGACGTCCAGCTGCTCCCTCGCGTCTGCGGCGGATTCTCTGCTGTCACCCGGCAGCGGAGACGCCAAACTGGGCGCCCAGAGCTCGTCTCCCCGCTCGGAGCAACCAGGAAGCGGTAATCTCAGCTCTCCAAACCTGTCCTCCACCTCCTCCTCCGGCTGCGGCGGCGGAGGAAGCACGGCGCAGCATTTCACGGAGCTGGACGACGCCTCGCCTGACACCGAGGAGTTGCAGCACAACCTGCCGCCCAGGACCGGGCACCCGCAACGCGGGCAAAGGCAAGAGGGCGGCCCGGTGGGATCAGCCGCCGCCGGCACGACGGGCAGCGACGCTCAACCACCACAGATATTCCCCTGGATGAGAAAGCTGCACATTAGCCATGGTACATGCTGCTCCTCTGTTTACGGCGTATTAGCTCCATGTCATAGGGCGATAATATTCATAACGCTGGCTCAATAGATTGTCGCCTATATGTTTTGGACACATGGGGTTTGACAGTTTAGTGCTTGTAGAAAGGACACGGGGAGCCACGGTGCCTCTTTGCACACACAACAAAGATTCAGCAGATTTATTGCTGCTTTGATTTGAGTTGTGTAAACCAGCTGCTTGAGTACAGACACACATTTAGGCACGGTTTTGTTTTTGTCTGCACCCCATGAAACCTATTCCACTGCGTCAGTTTCATAGTTTCATATGAAGTCGTTTGAGCAGGTTGTTGAGCCGCCCAGTGAAGCACAACATCTTTTATTTTGCGCAATGCTTTTATGCGCATACAGAGCGGTAAAAAAAAGAAGTCTGTATTTTGAATGCATTTGGAAATTTAAGAAGTAGCCGAACTAAACAGGACAGCTTGCCCGCCTCTGGTGAACCAGCTGAAGTCGTGTATTAGCATGTTTTCTCAGTGCGCGCAGGGTGCAATTTGTTTTGCATTTCCCCTCATTTAGAAGCTGCAGGGTCGCCGGATGGTTGCCCCCTCTGTGTTTCTTTTTCTCCCTTTTCTTTTATTTTAGCAAATTCCACAAAACCGTCATAAATCTGTCAGGGGGGGCGGGGGGCGCTGGGCAGCGAAGCCCAACAGGCTGCAGGAGAGCAGACAGAGCTGGGTGGGAAAAGACAAAAAAAAAAAAAAAAGAGGCCAGGAAAGGCTTTTCGAGACTGTTGCTCCTTTGAAAAGTGAAGCTTTATTACGTGTGGGAACTTTATTAGGGAGGTGAGGCAGAGGATGGGGGCAATAAAATCCCGAAAGCGGCTGGATAGGGGGGGGGGGGGGGGGGG